CAAATAGAGTTGGCATAAACAGGTTTGAGGAAAAAACATAACTGCCTCTTGGTAAAGTATTATCAGCCAACTGATGGGAGAAGCAGGCACATGAGAGAATAATCTACCAATGTGGGATATTCAAGAATAGGCTTATGGAAGGAATGCAGAACACTGGGGACTGTGATAAGTGAGTTAATGCAAGTTGTTTAAGAGAGCTTCTATTATACAGACTTCTCCCCCCCTCATTTTCAGACCGTTCAATAACCTGCATTCCCCCTACCTAGCAAATTTTATTCCCCACAAGAACCCTCCCTTCAATTACGTATGTTCTATCCCTCTCCTTTTGCTTTTACTGAGTTTGTCCTAGTCATCTAAAAAATGCCACTTTTCCTCTCTGCCTATAGAAATTTTACCATCCTTCAAGCCCAGCACAAAGACTTCTCACGACCAATTCAGGCATCATTATCTCCCTTTCCTACAAGCTTATACAGTACTTAACAGGCTACATCACACAATTTATCCCTTTATTATATGGTAATCCTTCATTATCCCCTTTTTCCTGCATTAATCTTTCCCTTTCTGCTGGATTTTTCCTATTACCACACAAGTATGTTCTAGTCTCTTCTAACTTTTTTTTAAGTACTAAAAGGTACATACTCCCCAAATACCACACTATTTCTCCTCTCCCCTCCTCAGCCCTGTTTCTTGAAACAATTGCCTATTCATGCCACACCTCTTCCTCATCTCCCTTGTACTTTAACCCTCTTTAATTCACTACAGTATGGGCTTCCTTGACACTCTCGTCAGAAGCAGTAACAACCTCCATACTGTCCAATCCAGTGATTTTTTTTGTCCTCTTTACTTGACCTTTCAGTGCCATTTAATGGTTGAGGGCTTCCTCTTTCTAGAAACTTCCTCTTGCCTTCTGAGACATTACTTTCCTGATTTTCCTCTCTCCCCACTAGCTGATAATCTCAGTTTTCTTCCCCTAGTCCTCCTCTTCTAATAGACAGCTAATGTCAAGTTTTTTCAAGGATCCATACCTCTGCTCTCCCGCTAAGTGAGAGGTTTACAAGAGGGACAGACCAACTCCTAAGGGAATTTTAGAAAATTCTATGGGTGTATTTGTGGAGAATAGTTGTAATATTTAGAAGGAAGGGCCAGAGAAGCTAGGTGTCCTGCAATGCAAGAAATAGTTCCCTACAATGAAGACTTGTCTCATGTCATGACCTTCAAATGTCCTACAAGATAATCACATAGGATTAAAAACCTAACTCATTTTACAGATAAGAGTGTAATGGGGGAAAAAAAAGTGTTGTAATGAAGTTTTCATATACATAATTGTCAAGAAATACAACCATCATGTAAATTAAGGGAAAATTCTGCTTTTCCCCATGAGTCGATTATTTTGAAAAATCAGATAGCAGTGAAGGACTATCTGAGATGTCAAAACTGCACAACTGTCTCACTCAGTATGAGGAGTCAGATTCATGTGATTTTTACATATAGGTGAGACACTCCCTACCTTGTATCCTTGCTTTATTTTCTCCATAGTCTCATCATCTATCAGTTTACCTTTTAATTATCCTCTTTATGAACTCCATCCTCCCACTAAAATGTGAGTTCCATGATTAAAGAAATTTTTGTCTTATTCACTACTATATCCCCAGCACACTGTACTATACCCAGTACAGTGATGGACATATACAAAGGCTTAATAAATATTCATGGACTCAATCTGATTACTTCTTACCTTTTACTGTGATCATGAACAAGTACTTCTAAATTGAAACACATACTAAAAAAATTCTCTAATTTGTCATACTACTAGTTAGAACAATATATTGATTTTTTTTTTTTTAACTGTGAGGCTAGGTTACATTGGCCATAAATATCATGCCAGCACAGTAAAGAGTGGATTTCAAAATACCTGCTATATAAAGGGGGCACTGGGTCTCACAGAGTGGAAAAGCACTGGCCTATATGAGCTCATTTCTAACTCACAAACCTGAACAAATCTGAACACCATACTCACAAATCTAACTTCCTCGTGGACAACTCCAATTAACATCTCAAACCTAACACATCTAAACAGAAAGTGATTCTTCACCTACTCAATCAATCTCTACAAATCCTATGGAGCCTCAGAAAATTAGCTCAAAGATTCCAGAAAGCTACGAGTCATCTTTTAGTTTCCCTTTCCCTGGCCCCCTACTCCAGTCAACCAACAAATCCTCTAGAGTCTATCTTCAAGGTATATCTGGAATCCATCCACTTTTCTCCATTATCAAACCAACATCTTGGCCCCCACCTTTTCTTTTTTGAACTATTATAGAATCTCCTAATTAGTTGCCTGCTTCAGCTCAGTCCATACTCCAGACAGCAAAAAAAAAAAAAAAAATACTAATCTCAAAAACCACTTCCCACAGAATTTAGAATAAAATCTATACTCCTAATCATGGCCTCTAAGATCCTGCATGATTGGCTCCTTGACTAACTCTCCCACTTTATCTTACACCACATGCCAGCCACATCCATCTTCCTTCCCTTCCTAATACACTCCCTGAGCAGCTGGCTCCTCCTCATCCAGCAGCTCTTCGATTGACACTTCCTCAGAGGTCTCCTGATTTCCCAACCTAAAGTAGATGTTCCCTGTTAATCTCTATTGTTTTCTTCCATGACACTCATCATAATTACCTATTTAATCATTTCTTTATTTTTTAATGTCTGTCTCTTCCACCAAAATATAAACTCCATAGAACTAGGAACCAAGTCTATGTTGTTCGCTATCAGATATGCATCAGCTACACCAGGGACTAGCACTGGGCCTGTCAAATAGCACTCAATAACTATTTGCTGAAAGAAGGAATTAAAAGTCACTCTTGAATCCAACCCCTCCTTCACCATCAAAACCATTTATTACCAAGGCATGATGATTTTACCTAAGCAATGTCCCTCAAGGGGTGCCTGGGTGGCTCAATCAGTTAAGCATCTGCCTTCGGCTCAGGTCATGATCTCAGGGTCCTGGGATCGAGGCCCGCTTTGGGCTCCCTGCTCAGCCAGGAGCCTGCTTCTCCCTCTCCCCTGCCCCTGCTCATGCTCTCTCTTGCTATCTCTCTCTCTCTCAAATAAATAAATAAAGTCTTAAGTAAGAAAAAAGAAAGGGAAATGTCCCTCAAGTCTTTCTCCTCTAATCGGTTCCCACAGAGATTCTCAACATGCACATATTGCGTGGATAATTTTATCACCTTTTTAACTGATTTTCCTGTATCATCTCTCATCTGTCCAGTCCATCAATAACATTACCACACAAGTCATCTATAAACAACCTAATAATAAACATCATCATATTTCATTTCTCCTTAAAAAGTTCTCTTTGCTTGCCCCTGCTTATAAAATAAAGGAAAAATTATTCAGTACAGAAAATGAGATTTGGTACCAACCTACCTTTCCAGCCTCATCCCCCATAACCTCCACTACCCACATATTCCCTTTTACTCCAGACATGTCTCAAACTAAGATAGTTCCCTGAACATACCATGTATCCCATTCTATGCCTTTGATGTTCCCTCTGCCTAGTAAAATCCTGATGTCCTTCAAGATTCAGCTCAAATGTCTTTTTCTTAGGAAAACTTCCTAAACCTTCAGAGACAGAATGAAGTTTCCATATTCTACAACACTCATCAACTTGTCTAGAGAGGCAATGTTAGCACAGTGGTTAAGAGAACAGACCACAAGTCTATTTACAAGGTTAAGAAACCTTGGGCAAATTATTTACTGTTCCTAGGCCTCAGTTAACTGTAATATGGTATAATAATATAATAGCAGGACTGTTGTGAGGAATAAGAATTAAAAAGTAGTTAGCAAAGACCTGGCAATAATGAGACTCAACACATGTTAGCTATTAGTTATTAAACTCTATAGGTCAGTCTCTGAGCTACCTGAAAGCAAAGACTATGCCCTGGTAATGTGTGTATTCCCATTACTTAACATCTGGCCCAAGAACACACTCAGCATCTGTTTCTCAAGTGAAAATGAAGTTGGGAGTAAGAATGACCATGGCAATGTTTTTTGGGGGGGGGTAACTGCAGTTATTAAGTCAGAGAACCTTTAGGGAACATCAAGAATATTTTATATTGAGATGAAATCAGGCTGTGTATTATCCTGTAGCTGTCAACTCTAAGCATTACCAGCCCAAATGATTATTATTCTAATGCTCTGGCTCATCAAGTCAATTTTTATTACAATTTTTACTTGGCTTCTTTTAAACTCTGGGTTATTACTTTCCAGGCCCTAGGCCTGTGCTAATTTGCATGAGTTTTAAACTAATCATCTGGCTTAAAAAGCAATTTTGCAATTTAAATCCATGGCACTTAATTCGCTCCCTACCTCAAGGCACTAAATTACCCTAAAACAGCTCATCATACCTACCAGTCCATACAAGAGCAGAAAGCGTTATGGTTGTGTTTTAAAACTTACACTGATGATTCAGAGAATGTTATGCTCAAGAGTGGATCGCCTCGCCTTGTAGGTCTCCAAGTGCCCATAACGGACTGTTATCTACCTTCTTAACGTGATCTCCATCACTTTGGCTTGAGAAGCCACCTCTCCTTAAACAGAAGAACGTACACGTGTGTGTGTGTGTGTGTGTACACACCTCTCCTTAAACAGAACGTACGTGTGTGTGTGTGTGTTTCGGTGGCTACGCGGATATGCCTCGGGATCTCCTCCTGACTGGCAGGTGGCCTATTATGAGTCCTGACATCAGGGTCACCCCCGCATGCAGAGCAGCAACTGCCTCCCCGCGCGGCGCACTCCGCCGCAGACGCCCAGGAGCGGTGCACCCATCACATGGGCTGCAGTCTCGGCAGTCAGCCCTCAAGGGAGGACTTGGACAAGCACCGCACAAAGGACGGCAGTCGAAAGGAGAATGGGCTGAAGAGCTGGGGGCGAGGTGGGTAGGATCCTTCAAGGGCTTGGCACTCCCTGTGTTTTGAGGGGCAGGACCTTGCACCAACCTCCACGAAGGCATCAGTCAGGTCACTAGCTCGGTCCATCACTGGCAAATGGCGCCCGGCCACGATTTTCACCTTCAGCTTCCCAGGCATCTTCTCGGCTTCGGCCTCTCCTTGGGCTCCTGCAGAAACAAACAAGCGAGTCTGCGCCGAGCTCTTAGCCCGGCGGGGGAGGGGCGGGAGCGCGCGGGGAGCTGCGCGCGCCGCAGGGAGCGCGCGGGATAACTGACAGCGGAGGGCGCGCAAGGGCGCGCCATGCCGCCGATCGTCACTCACTCTCGGGTGAATGAGGGGGCCGTCCCGCGCGGGCGCTGAGGCCTCATTCCGGAGAGGCAGTCGGAGGAGTGGCCCGGGTGGATTCTTCTACCCCGGTCCCACAGTGCTGGCAAGAGAAACAAAAGCCAGTCAACATCCCGTGGAGGTTCTGCCACCCCTACTTGTGTTTTCCTCCCCCCAAAATGGCGGCTCTCGGGGCGTGGAGGAAACATCGATCATTCGGCGCTCGGCCCACTTCGCAGGGGAGAAATTAAATTCACGGAAAGCAGATGGATGGGGCGGGACGGACTTCGAGGAAGCCGGAGGGCAGGGGAATGGGTCGAGCCCTGCATCATCCACCGAGCCAGGGCTGTAGGTTGGTGCCCTGCTCTTTGAGAGCTGACTCTGTCCTTCGGGGGCGAATCACTCGTAGGGCTCGGTTCGGTGACTTCCCGGGTCGCCCCCTTCCCAGCTACAAACGCTGCATTTTCGAGGGGTGTGACAGAAAGAGCAGCGGCGGAGACTGCTAGAGGAGGGATTTCAGTCGGCCTTTAACCACCAGTTAGTGGTTTGTAAAATCAGTTTAGCTGGTTTCTACCTGGAAAGGATGCAGTTTTTGTTTTATATGAGGGAGAGTAGGAAATTTCAGGGACATCTCGGGTAATCAGGTAAGTATTCTATAGCAACATTTTTTATTCAGTCATATACACGTGTACTGGGTTATAGATGTTACTGTAGGTCTTGGGGAAAAACAAAACTTTGAAATCCAAAACCACTGGTTAAAGGAGTTTCCCCTGCACGCCTGGATTGGCTCAGTGTGTTTATTTTTTTTATTTTTTTTTTAAAGATTTTATTTATTTATTTGACAGATTCATAGCGAGAGCAGGAACACAAGCAGGGGGAGTGGGAGAGGGAGAAGCGGGCTTCCTGCCGAGCAGGGAGCCCGATGTGGGACTCGATTCCAGGACCCTGGGATCATGACCTGAGCCGAAGGCAGACGCTTAACGACTGAGCCACCCAGGCGCCCGCTCAGTGTGTTTATTAAGCATCAACAACCCTAAGACCTACTTTGCTGGCAGGAGTTCATGATCTCCTACCCTATGAAATTTCTAGTCAACTGCAAGAAACAAAGATGAGCTTAATGAAACACCTTGAACAACCGACCCAATTATATATGTGAATATACATGCAAAAACGAGGCAAAATCTATAGGCTCAAACCATCAGAAAAAATTAGGGAAATTGAGGCAAACGCACAGGATGATACCAGATATCAACAGTACATGTCATATCAAATAACAAAATCACCATTAACAATTCTGGTAGAGGGACGCCTGGGTGGCTCAGTTGGTTGAGTGACTGCCTTCGGATCAGGTCATGATCCTGGAGTCCTGGAGTCCCGGGATGGGCTCCCTGCTCAGCTGGAGTCTGCTTCTTCCTCTGACCCTTCCCCTCTCTCAGGTACGCTCTCTCTCTCATTCTGTCTCTCTCAAATAAATAAAATCTTAAAAAAAAAAAAAATTCTGGTAGAAAGATTTTACCACCGGATTCTTTAGGAATGGAAAATTCCCAAATGAAGATTTTTTTTAACTGATTCACCTTTTTTCTTTTTTTAAGATTTATTTGTTTGAGAAAGAGAGCATGGGGGTGGGGGTGGGCAGAGGGAGAGAGAGAGAGAGAGAACCTAGAGCAGATTCTGCATTGACCCAGAAGCCCTTTGCGCGGCTGGGTCTCAGGACCCTGAGATCATGAGGACCTGAAACCAAGAGTCGGATCCTTAACCTGCTGAGCCATCCAGGCCCCCAAACTGATACACCTTTTTAACTTTAAAAATACTGAGGGATCAGTGGATGGAGCAAGTGACTTGATCTTGAGGTTGTGAGTTCAAGCCCCACAATGAGTGTGGAGATTACTTAAAATTAAATATTAAAAAATAAAACAAAATACTGGGGCGCCTGGGTGGCTCAGTCGTTAAGTGTCTGCCTTCAGCTCAGGTCATGATCCCAGGGTCCTGGGATCGAGCCCCACATCTGGCTCCTTGCTCCGCCGAAAGCCTGCTTCTCTCCCACTCCCCCTGCTTGTGTTCCCTCTCTCGCTGTGTCTCTCTCTGTCAAGTAAATAAATAAAATATTTTTTAAAAATACCGAATAGGTATTTAAAGAATTCTCTTTAAAAGGGCAAAAGTTCCTTCTGTAGAGGGAATATCGTTCATGTAAGTGAGAAGTTGAAATCTTCCGAAGAGAAAAGAAAAAGGCTTCCTCAAAATAAAAATCTAACAGATAAATCACTGACTTTTCAGACTAGAGAAAACTTCATCCACTCAAACAATAACAAAAGGCTAGATGGCTACAGCTCACATGCAGATTTCCTTAGATCCTACTGCAGCTTTTTGTGAAATCTACCTCTACTCTTAAAATGCCCTTACCATGGTGAGCAACACTATACGATCAGTTAATTTTGGTGTGTTTTGTTTTGGTGGTAGAGTTTAAATAGCTTTTTTTTTTTTTAGGATTTTATTTATTTGAGAGAGAGAACACAGAGGGAGAGAGCACAGAGGGAGAGGGAGAAGCAAACTCCCTGCTGAGCAGGGAGACCAATGCGGGACTTGATCCCAGGACCCTGAGATCATGACCTGAGCCAAAGACAGACGCTTAACCAACTGAGCCACCCAGCACCCCTGAAATAGCTTTTTTACTGAAATCAAAGTATTACCAATTCATTAAAAAAAGAAAAAAAATGCTGAGTATCAACAATAGCCAAACTATGAAAAGAGCTCAAATGTCCATTGACTGATGAATGGATAAGAAGACATGGTGTATATATATAATGGAATATTACTCAGTCATCAAAAAGAATGATATCTTGCAATGATGTGGATGGAGCTAGAGTGTATTATACTAAGCGAAATAAATCAGTCAAAGAAAGACAAATACCATATGATTTCACTCATATGTGGAATTTAAGAAACAAAACAGATGAACAGATGGGGGGGGAGAAAAAACAGAGGGAAACAAACCATAGAGATTCTTAAAGACAGAACAAACTGAGGGTTGATGGAGGAAGGTGGGTGGGGGGATGGGTTAGATGTGTGATGGGCATGAAAGAGGGCTCTTTTTTTTTTTTTTTTAAAGATTTTATTTATTTATTTGAGAGAGAATGAGAGACAGAGAGCACAAGAGGGAAGAGGGTCAGAGGGAGAAGCAGACTCCCCGCCGAGCAGGGAGCCCGATGCGGGACTCGATCCCAGGACTCCAGGATCATGACCTGAGCCGAAGGCAGTTGCCCAACCAACTGAGCCACCCAGGCGCCCCGAAAGAGGGCTCTTGTTATGATGAGCACTGGGTGTTGTATGTAAATGATGAATCACTGAATTCTACTGAAACCAATAATGCACTGTATGTTAACTAACTAGAATTTAAATAAGAATTTGAAAAGAAAAAAAATGTACTGAAACATAAAAAGAAAAAAATTAGAAAACTGAAGTTTTGCAACAATCTTAATGGAAAACAATGCTTTGTATTACAAGATGTTGTAATGTAAAAATATATTTGCAAATTGCACAATTAGAGGTTAGCAATCTCAGCCTCCTAATTAGTATCCGGTAAGGTACTTGTACATACCTGTTGCCTTAGGCTTCATTAATGGGAGATTATAATTAAGATGCTTCCTGAAGACTTTTTTTTTTTAGTAGAATTAAGCCTGACTTCGGTTTGTTTTCTAATAATTGTACTAGTTTGTTTTAATTAATGCTGGGAACAGTGTTAACTTTCCTGACAAATCTATCGTGATCTGGTTCCTAATTAGCTTCTGTAGCTTCATACTTCACCACTCTTTTTGCATCTTAGATCCCATAATAATACTATGTATTGAGTATTTGCTTTGTACCAGCTACTGAATTCAGTGCTTCGCAGCTTTTAAAGCTCCCTAAAATCCTATACAATAGAAATTACCAGCCTTCATTCTAGAGGTGATGAATTTGAAGCTTTGCAATGTTTACTCGATGATGACCCCAAGTCACGGAGCTAGTAGTGTTGGAGGCAGGATTTATATCTAGGCAATTTGATTCCAAGAACTCCTCTTTAAAGGCTTTGTGTAGTTTCCTCTAAACTATGTTTTTTTCTTTTTCTCATAGTATTCCTAGCAAACACTTAAGAATTCATAACTCAATTTTAATGTCTTCCCTTATCTCCTTTCTGATAAACAAACTCTTCACTTCCACAGCTATGCTACCACTAAATTTAATGCATCTGTTATTGCACGTCTATATACATAATTATTTATCTTTCTCTCTCCCCTATTAAACTTTGAGCACCTTGAAGGGAAGGACTATTTCTTGTCCATCTCTCAATTCTCAGTTCCCTCCCTGTGCCCTTCATGTAATCCACAAATGCTTATGCAATTAAATGTTAATAACACATATACATTTACTGCTTTGCTCTCTCTTTTCTGGCTTCCTAAAATGTTCCTTTGAATCCCTCTCCACCCCTCAAGGTTAAACTTCTCAAGGTTTATCTATATTTGGTGCCCTCTCCTCACTTCACAAACACTCCTAAAACTATTTCTGACCTTGGGGAACCTGGGTAGCTTATTCGGCTGAGCGACCAACTCTTGATTTTGGCTCAGGTCATTTTGGCTCAGCGTGGAGTCCGCTTGAGATTCTCTCTCTCTCTTTCCCTCTGCCCTCCCCCTGCTCACATGCACACACGCTCTCTCTCTAAATTAAAAACAAAAACAAAACTATTTCTGACTTTAGCTACAGCCTCTCTACCAAAACAACTTTCTCCACAACTTTCTCCAAGGCCATCAATAACCTTTGATTGCTGAATCCAGTGGACAGTTTTCATTTTACAGGATTCCCAGTAGCATTTGACACTGTTAATCATGTTCCCCTTGAAATGGTTTTCCACTTCATACTCAGATACCATGCTTCTCTTACTGTTGCACCATATATATATTTGCCTTCTCAGCTTCCTCACTGTCCTTAACAAATATGGATTTTCCTCAGGGTTTCAGTTCTTGACGCTCTTCTCTTCTAACTATACTCTCTCCTTAGGTGATCTCATTCATGCATGTAATTTCAATTTCTATCTATTTAGCTGAGGATTCTGACGTTTTTATCTTTAGCCCACAACTTTCTTCTGGTATCTGGACCCATGTATTCAAAATGCCAGGTTCCTATTTCCATTTGGAGTATCGGAGTGACCTTAAAGTCAAGGTCCAAAACTGAACTTACTTTCTTTATCTCTCCCAGAATGACAACAACAGCAATTACCACAACAACAACAAAATAAAAAGCCTGATCCTCCTCTACTGCATTACTGGTCTCAAATTACAGAACACCAGCTACCTAGTCAATTGCTGGAGCCAGAAACTCACTGATTTGAGGGTGGATACAAATGGCAACTTGAACTCTCAGGTACTTTTACTTTGATTTACTTCTAAAGCAGCAAATCAGCTGAGTAAAGGGTAAACTGGAGTTAAATAGCTAGGTCAGCTCCTCTTCCCATTGGTTCCCTTGTATCTCATAAAGGTGTGTCTCATGTATAGTAGACACAATGTCCTCATTAAGTAAAACGTTCTCTAGATTGGAAGAATCAGTACTCAGCAGTGCATTCAGTGAGCCATGCCCCCTAGGTGTAATGGAAAGGTTACAGGTCTTGACTTTCTTTTTTTTTTTTTTTTAAAGATTTTGTTTTAATTTATTTATTTGAGAGAGAGAATGAGAGACAGAGAGCACGAGAGGGAAGAGGGCAGAGGGGGAAGCAGACCCCCCGCTGAGCAGGGAGCCCGATG